TTTACCAAATACAATTTATATTAATTGAACCTTGCAGTACATGGTTGTGTGGGGTATTATTATCTCCCTAGTACAGGTGGGCATGATAATCACGGTGGGTAGAAGTTGGCGAATGTTTTTACTCTAAGTGCACCATATGTGGAAAACAGTTTGACTTATGCACTTAGAAGTGTGCCAGAGCTCTGTTTGGTGACTTGCACTCACTGGTGGTCCTCATTCAGTCTCTCGTCAGAAGGAGCAACTTGGAGCTACGAGAAATACCGGGACGTGTTTCTCTCAGCTGGGGAAATGTTAATAGAATTATTTGGAAGACGTGTGAGGAAACAAAATGAACAAATTTATTCGATAAAAGGTGATGTACTAAAATCAATTTATTCGTCCAGTATAAATGGGGCACGTGACTAGTGGTGATGGTGGCCGTGATGGCCGTGATGATGACCGTGATGATGACCGTGGTACTCGTGGCTGGAGGAGTGTTGCGGCATCCTGCATACAACCACATTGTAGCCACACTGTACCACACTGTACCATACTGTAACCACACCGCCCACCAAACATCCAGCCTCAAGCAAGTGCCAGAAACAGCAGATGTTCTATTCCAAAAGAAGCACTCTATTTCCCCGTTAAGATTACATTAAAACAATAGCATCACCCGAGTACAGACGTTATGGTGGTGATAGTTCCCCAACACCAGTTTTGTAAATTCAGACAACCTGTATACACCATGGTTTAGGAATATGGCCCTCATCAGTACAGTGGTGGCTTCGATTTCTTAACATTCTTAGAGAGGAGTTATGGAATCGGTCGAATGAAGCTCTATCCCGGATGTTTTGTTGTGTTTTGAACTGGCAGAGAATTGAACTATGTGATTGTGAGTACAGCCCAGAAATTCTACAGATAGGTCACTTAAGACGTAAATATCGAGTTTGAACTTATGTCGCTGTGAGTAAGAATACAAAAGTTCAACCAATAGCACACTGTTGGGCGTTGAATGTTCCTTGGTGTAATGGTTTGAGATAAAGCCTGCGCCACATACGGCAGAGAATTGAACTATGTGATTGTGAGTACAGCCCAGAAATTCTACAGATAGGTCACTTAAGACGTAAATAACGAGTTTGAACTTATGTCGCTGTGAGTAAGAATACAAAAGTTCAACCAATAGCCCACTGTTGGGCGTTGAATGTTCCTTGGTGTAATGGTTTGAGATAAAGCCTGCGCCACATACGGCTGAGAATTGAATAAATTAGCAATCCAAGATGACCGGCCTACCTACCTATGGCCACCTATCACATGTCATGGTCTTCGATCCATTTGGAAGAAGGCAGTATAAGACGACAGTACTTACGGGACGGGGATGTAGTGGGGGTGAGAGTGGCCGTGCACGGGGATGGGGATGGGAATGGGTACCAGGTGCGGGTGGTGGTGGTGTCGTTTGCCCATCAGCGCGGCAATCAGCGCCGCCAGACCGCTGTTCTTGTGGGGGCGGACGGCGGGGAGACAGAGCAGGGCGGTCAGTAGGATGGGTAGGAGTAGCCGCATGTCTGTCACAGCATTGTAAGATCTGCCGTGTGTCACAGAGTGTGTACCACTCTTGGAGTACATATATATAAATTATCAAAAGTACAAAATGGTGAGGAGAGGAGTTTCTTGAAATGAACCAATAAACTTTCGATCCACGACTTTATACTTTTGATAGTTTACAGGCGGTTATGGTATAACTGCCATGATATCACAGGGGTCACAGTCCCCTCTCCGAGAAATGTATTTAGAGCATCCATTCGCTGTTATAGCTTTCTTCGTTGTTCCCATCTGCTAACAAAGCTAGGCATGTCATCTGTGTGGGCTGGGGAGACGCCGGGACAAAGCCCTCCAAGATGGTGTAACACTATATGATGGAAGCTTACAGTACTTTTCAGAATCTTAATTTACGATTCCAAAGGCTCAAAAGAACACACGGGCTGTGATTAATAGAAAGAGAGGCTTCAATTCTTACTCTTGCGTATCATTTAAAATCATTTTTTCAACTGGTGAATTAATTATTTTTGTTGAGCTGAAGGTGATCGCAATCTTCTGTTGTATTCAAGAGATGTGGTAAAGAATTGCTTTTATTACGAATTATTCTTTATTTAAAAAAAAAAACGTCCTACCATCCATACTGCGATGATAAAATATAGGAAGGGCTTGGCTCATCAGTGGAGAACACTCCCATCTGTTTGTCAGTAATAATCCACCAGACCACTCTAACTCTGTATTCTTCGGTTGGTCTCGAGGACCACGTCATTACAATCAATCGCTATCTCCTCATCAGCGAAGCACCTGATCTAAGTTTTCTTCGTGGAGCATGTCTTCGAAATACGTGGTGTCGCAGGCGATCTTCCACCAAACTCTACAGCGGTGGCGCCATGTACATAGATATATCGAATTATTTTAAAATAATAGTTCAGACTTTTTCATATATTGACAAGATGTCATTAAAATCATGTTGTATAATTCTGTATTCGGTAGTCCGATCTGCAATTTGCAAAAATGTCGGGAAATCTGTCTAGCTGGTTAATTATTGAATTGTTTGGGCAAGAACAATCTTATACTCCTAGCGTCTCCACAAACCTCCTGTTCATATAGTTTCCCTCAATACCTCCACCAGTAATTCCTCTAATGTTCCGGATTGTATAAGAAAACAGACCAATAAAATAACAGAGAGGTCTGGCAGAATACAGGGACGAAACAGATGGGAGGGTTCACCACTGATGAGCCAGGCCACTCTAATCCATCACAGTAAGATGCCGGTCCCAAGCCCGGATTAAAAAGAAGGAGGGGGAGCAGTAACAAGCTCACTAAAATATCTGGGCTCAGCTGGCCCAGCTGATAGTACCCTGTAAGGGCTCCTAATTCAGGTATACAGGATGATCAGCGTTTGTACTCCATGTTAGGAGCGGCTGTACATGGCGTCTGTTCCTCATGTCAGAGGCGGCCATTTCTTTTGGAGCTAAGTCGGCCTGCCACTGAGTAGTGCTCCCAGTCTTAATGACAAAGGCAGACGCATTCTAATTCACCCAGGAATGATGGTTGTCAAGTCTCAAGCTTTACAAGCTTGATACCCTAAAATGATTGAGTGGAGATAAGAAAGAAGAAGAAGACAGTAAGAAAAGAGTAAGAAATGGTGTAACTAAAACCAGATGGATTCTGGCCGAGTGGATTGTGTTTAAAATAACGTTATAATTTCCAATAAATAGTTTGTCCAGTTATGTGATGCGAACCTATCCCAAAGAACGTAGCGGCGACCTACCTGAGTCCAAGCACGGCCGAGGCACAGACACTGCCCCAGCTCAGCTCGACTATATCCACCGCTGTCCCAGGAAATGGCTCCACTTCCTCGACGTACCACGGACTCGAGAAAAAGTCAAATGTCTGGATTTAGCAGATCGATTCGATACGCCTCAGTGGAGTTGTTTTTATGTGCAGAAACATCAGGCCGTGAATGGGAAGTGAACACATAGTACGGGTTACACCAGCGGGGAACACGGCGAGGATTCCATAACTGGAGGATGAATTGGGATTAATTCAAGTTGGCATCAGACTTTTTATAAAACTTTATTGTTCTTTGACGTTTCCGCGACCCACTTCCACCCTTTCAAAAAAAGGTGCAAAATTTATATTTGAAGTAATATTCCATCTTTTTTAAGGGTGAAAGTGGGTCGCCGAGACGTCAAAGAACAATAAATGTTTATAAAAATGTTGATGAAGTCTTCAACTTGAATTAAAGGGAGAAATGTGTGTGAATATGGGAAATACGTAAATATCAAAATTCAAAACTATTTTAAAGGCGTAAGATTATTTTTGATATTAAACAATTTCTACTGCCCTTACTGCAATGGAAAAATTATTGAGAGGGCCCCTGGCTCAACAGTTTTTTCCATTGCAGTAAGGGCAGTAGAAATTGTTTAATATCAAAAAGAATCTTACGCCTTTAAAATAGTTTTGAATTTTGATAACAGATGGCCCGCTAGTGCATCATAGGTAAATATGTGAAAATGTGGGAAATATGTAACTATGTGAAAAATGCATGAATTCCTGGAACAGTATAATGACATTTAACCATAAATAGCGGCTTGGGGCTTTATTTAACTGTGAATTTATGATGGAAAACTGTGGAACGCCTAAACTCTAAACTCCTAAACTCGCCTAAACTGATTTTATTTAGTTTTATTGGTCGCATTTGTTACAAAATAGAATTTCTTCAATAGAAACTTTATTTGTAATTATGTAACGTCAATAATTGATTTAGTTAAACCTCTAAACTTTAGAACGCAACATACTTTTCTTTGAAAAAATAATAATAAAAGGTCAGGTGTTGATATTAAACATAAAAAGGCATATCCTGACCACATGAGCATTTCGGCATAGCGCCATCTAGTGGAACAAAAATAAACCAAACGTTTATTTAACTTGTCCGTGATATTTGGCCAACCCAATATCTTGATAAAACAAGAAAAGTTAACCATGTACGCGTTTCGGGCTGTTGGCCCTCGTCAGCATGGTGTAGACTGTACCTCTACGGCCATACAGATATGTCTCTTTTATTTTTAATATCAACACCTGACCTTTTTTTATATTTTTTAATTTTTTTTTTTCATATGAAAAGCGTATTTACGCAAAGTTGGCCTTATATACCCATTTCTTGATTTCTCAGGAAGTCTCTGAGACCAAATATTTAGCCGTAGAGATACAGTCTGTACCACGCTGACGAGGGCCTACAGTCCGAAATGCGTAGTGGTTAACTTTTCTAGATTTATCAAGATATTGGGTTGACAAAATATCACAGAACAAGTTAAATAAACATTTATTTTTGTTCCACTAGATGGCGCTCTGCCGAAATGCTCATTTGAGCACGGTCAGGTTATGCCTTTTTATGTTTAACTAGCCGAATGACCCGGGCAACGCCCGTGTTTTACCCGATTGAATGTTTGATTCAAATACTATTTGTTACAATTATAAATTGTGGTCATGTGGCCTAGTGGTCATGGCATCTGCCCGGTAAGCGGAAGGTCGTGGGTTCGATTCCCATTCCTTGACACTTTTTTTATTTTATCCATTCTGACCAAAATCTATCCGTGAACTTCACACAGTGAACTTCACACAGACCGAATAAGGCAATTATATAAGTAGATACTTTTCTTTGTAACTTGCCTCTGTGGAATTTTGTTCTCTAGCTCCATCTTCTGATCTCTCAAAATATTTCTATTGTTCATCGATAGCATCGGAAGCCAGTTTCCAATAAGTAAACATTTATGTTGGGATCTTTTCTTCAATAAAACTATGGACAGAAGCTTTGAATGACGTGGCCTTTATAATTAAATATTATTATTATTTTCAATTTTAATTTAATGTATTATTATCATTAATTATTTTTGACCAATGACAAAGTTGTTTTCATGTGATCTCTACAAGAATTTGTAAATTAAGTTTACTGTACAATAAATTGATAAAGAGGGAGCAATCTCTCGAAATATTTTGAGAAAAAAAGTTTTTTTTTCTTTACAGATCTAGGTACGCCCTTTTATATAAACTTTATACCTAACTTATTTTTTGCAAATTGTTGGCGAAAGAGCCATGCTCGAAGCCTGTATATTCCTGCTACTTTCAATCCACAATTTCTGTGAATAAATTTACTCAGAATTCCTGAAAGTTGACTAACTTTATGGCAGAACAGTCCAATACAGCGGTTTGGTAAATTAAACGGGCGAAAGCGCTGGGAAGGTTCACTACTGATGAGCCAGGCCCTCCAAATATTTCCATCTCAGTAAAGGACAATAGGATTCTGTTTCATTTGAACAATAATATATGTGTCGAGAAGGCCGATTCTTCGGCCGTTTGGTTCTACGTCATCCATGCCAGTAGTGGGACATCTCCAGGACTGTCACGGCACCAATGTCGCCACCATACTTGCAGGAAGCCAGGTAGACGGGGTTCACGAGGAGCCATCGGCTGAGGTCGGCACCACCGTGGGGAATCCAGGTTGACAGTTTCAGCGAAATATGATCTGGGACATCAGGGACTGCTTGAGTGTTGAGTTCCACTGCAGAAATCCATTCTAGCCTTAGCAAGACCCTCGGACAAGTTCAGCCTGGCAAGATTCTAGTGCAGATGTTCTTAACCAGATTCTTAGGAGTCTAGACTGTCTCAATCAATAGCTCCATAGCTAGACCCACTGGAGTCTAGTCTGTCCTAGGTTCCCAGCTAGACCCACTGGAGTCTAATCTGTCCTAGCTTCCTAGCTAGACCCACTGGAGTCTAGTCTGTCCTAGCTTCCTAGCTAGACCCACTGGAGTCTAGTCTGTCCTAGCTTCCTAGCTAGACCCACTGGAGTCTAGTCTGTCCTAAGTTCCTAGCTAGACCCACTGGAGTCTAGTCTGTCCCAGGTTTCTAGCCGGGAGCGTGTCCCAGAAGTCCGGAGGAGGTCCGCCCCTGGCACCGGACTAATGGACCGGCGGCAGCTTATAACCCCCGCGCCGCTGCCGTCCTCATCAGTGTGAGCGCCGACAAGGTGAGTGTGTTTACCTCGTGCTCTGGAATTCCTTCTCTCTCCCTCTCTCCATTGAAATACATTTCCACATTTATCGTATCATACCCACGTAGAGAAAATTCGATAAAAAATATGCATTTAATGTTCTCCTCTCTGGATAATTAGTAGAGCTAAAAAATAGAATATAAGAAAACTGCCGTGATGGGAATACTGTATATTAAGGACATTGCAGATATCATGTTAGGTATTGAGAAAAATCATGTTATGTTGTATGCATACTCGGCATGTGTTCTCTATTACGGTCATCAGGCTTGTCTCCAGTGAAAATTTCTTTTTAAAACATTTTTTACTCACAAATCTCTAGCTTCCGGGCAAGAAAGCCCTTCTCAGGAGAAAACACGATACAACGAATCACCAATATGACACAAGTTTTATAATATAATCAAATACTGTTTTACATAATTTATACAAAAATCTTTAGACATGAAATTTTCAAATTTAATTTTGTTTTTTTCTATTATTTATTATACAAATGGTGTCAATAATTTTTAAATGTCTATCAAAATATTTAAAAAATTATTTAAATAAAGAATGAAGTTTTTTTTTTTATATAAATCTATAGAAATTTTATGAAATTATTTCAAAACAGTATTTGATTATATTTTAACTCTTATTGGTGATTTATTGTGGGGTGTTTCTCCTGTAGAAGGGCTTCCATCCCCGAAAGCTGGAGATTTGTGAATTAAGGATTTTAAAAAGAAACCTAAGGGGGTCGGTGGAAGGATGGTCTAAACCGTTGGTTTTCGACCGCTACGACCCGGGTTCGATTCCCGCATTGGGCACTTTTTTTATGATAAAAAAAAAAAATCCCAATGGCCCCCGATTTTTGCAAAAGTCCAACCCCACCAGCGAGTGCAAGTAACCAAACGGGGCTCTAGCACAATTGTAAGTGCAAAGTCGAACTGATTTTCACATGTGTAGACATGTGGTGTACTTACAGTAAAAGAAGTCGCCTACTTCTACCCACCATGGTTATCATGGCCTGTACCATGTGTACTAGGGATAAGCACAAAAAGAAACATATCTCTGATGTTTTCACCTTAATACAAGGGATTGTTGGATTTGTTATTTATCATTGATTCAACATCTCCAGTCCTGCAGCAGCTCACCTCACTCCAGTCCCTCAGCTCTACTTGGTCTTCCTCCTTTATGTAGATGCCTTCAAATCATGCCTGAAGTTTCCCTTAGAACATGGTGTTAGTACTATCGTTTGTCATAAAATAAATATGTAAACAAGCTAGGGGTGAAATGTATATTTATATATTTATTATATATACACTCATGTGGAAAAAACTTAAGGAAGTGGAAAGTCTTTGATGTCGCCGGTCGTCCCTTTTTTTTTTTTTTTGAGACAGAGTCAATTTTGTTCACACTTAGTTATATCGTGGGTCAAATATCTTGCAGAGTTATTGTCTGATATACAAACTAAAAGGTACAAACTTCCTTAAGTTTTGTCCATGAGTGTAATCAAAAACCATTAACATTTCTATACCTAATAGAATGGGTTAAGGTAGTTCACAATGTGGGCATAATGAAAGAAACACCACGCTGATCATGAGGCCCAACAGCCCGAAACGCGTCCGTGGTTAGCTTTTCTTGATTAATCAAGAATGGGTATTTGGCCAATTCTGGAATAATTAAAAATCAACGAGAATAGTTGATATTTATTCCGATAGATGGCGCAAGCCATCAGCAACTTTCAGTTGCACGATAAGGAGATGCCTTTTTCATAAATAATGAAAGAAGTTACAGAAAGATGATTAAAAGGAAAATAAAGAAGCGCGAGTAAAAGTTTGTAAATAAAATTTTTGCATAAATAGATAAATCTTTAAAATATTTTATAAAATAGAATAAAATTTTAAAAATAAATTTAAAACACAAGGTTGTCCCCAAAGTACGTAAAGACTTGCAGAAAAATTGAATTTGGATATATTCTATATACAGTTACGAGCGTCATTCTTCATCTCTTAATCAGTCATCTCTGTCACCGTTTGCTTTTTTTTTTTTTGGAATGGCGCCCTCCTATTGGTTGGCTACGATCACGCCACCTTTGCCCCCCCCCCCCCCCCCCCCCCCATCCAGCCCCCCCCCCCCCCCCCACTCGCTTTTTCGTTTTTGTAACTATTGTGTTGGAGCGAGTCGCTCCCTAAATAAATGCATATATTAGATAATAACCAAATGGAATCCTCTCTTTCTTTTTCCCAGTAAGAGACGCCTACGGAAGCCAACAGTAGATAGACAGATAAAGCACATAGGCTATAGTTATTAACTAACATATGCAATTATTTAAGGCACCAATTTATAATTGTAACAAATAGTATTTGAATCAAAACATTCAATCGGGTAAAACACGGGCGTTGCCCGGGTCATTCGGCTAGTAGGTATATATTTGTGTCAGGTGGTTACGAACTTTTGGGATAACTTTATAAAGCAATTAAATTATTTTGCCTTTTTCTTATTGATACCTTTATTTTACTTATTAATATATTATATACACACATGTATATGTGAAAAAGTAATAAAAATAGAAAAAAAGTTCGGGATATTAAAAACAAAAGAGGCATATCCTGCCCTCTCACATGAGAATTTTGATGGCAGAGCGCCATCTAGTGCAACAAAATTCAACTAAACATTGATTTAGGTTTGTTCCTTAATATTTGGCCAACCCATTTTCTGAGTAAATCAGAAAAGCCAACCACGTACGCGTTTCAGACAGTTGGTCCTCGTCAGAGTGGAGCAGACTGTAACTCAACGACCTAAAACTTGGTCCAAGAGGCTTTCTGAGAAATCAAGAAATGGGTAGTTAAGAGGTCAAATTGGCGTAATTACGCTAAACATTTGAAAATAAGTAAAAATTAAAAAGGTCAGGGGTTGATTTAAAAAAAAAAAGCATGTCCTGACCGCTCACATTTTAAATGGCAGAGCGCCATAAAGCGAATGATGCACGTGGAAGAAACAAATTGTTGCTCTTTATTAATAAATATTAAAATTTGAAGTCCTCTATAGAATTTCTGAATTAATTCAAATGGCCCACAATACCCTTTCTCTTTTCTAGGTAATTTTTTAAGTATTAACAAGGATATCTTGTGTAAAGTGACAGTGTATGCGACTATGGCTTCCTATTAAATGGTAGCAACAGAAGTCGATTATCCCATTGTATGTATATATATATATGTCGTACCACAAGCACTAGCAGTCATGGAGCCAAGTGGTTTCAAGAGTCAATGGGTAACACAAAGGACGATTCAGGTTGGATGGCACCTAAAAGAGGCAAGCGGCCGAAGGCGCAGCAAGGTCCAGGAAGTTCTGATTTGCACAAGTGGGAGATATGATCTGTTTGTCGGTATCTAGCAGTTGGTCGTAAAAATCATTAACGACTTATGGAAGTTCCACGGGAGGAAATAACGTAATCTTGACTAAACTGGATCTCGCATTGCCTGGGTATGGCTGACTTTCAATAAAACTTTATTGTATTGTTTGTGATTACATGATG